CCTGAGTGAACATATGATGCACAAATTTTGATGACATAATCACGGTCTATTTTAAAGTGTGAAATGCAAGAAGAATGAATATGGCTGAAAAAAGCTGAGAATTTTAGGGTAAAGAAACAACGTCAAAGGGAAAGAAAGCTAGGGGTTCTCTGTGGCCAGAATTTTACAACGTAAATTAAACGAAGCACGATGCAGTTCTTATAGGTTGAAGTGCTGAAACATAGATGTCGAGAAAGCAAATAGGTTACCGCTTATTATGATACTGAAAACAGGAGAAATCAGCGTAGGCTAACAAGGAGATTTTCACGCATTCAACCTCAAACCTCAAAAATCTAAATTGGTAACCTCAAAACCTAAATCTCAACCTCAAACCTCAAAGGTAACCTCAAAACTCTAAATTGGTACTGGCTGTAACAGCGAAGAAGTATATATTCGTATATAGGCAATCAGATGCTGAGATGAAAGGTCAATATGTAAAAATCAAAGCAGTGTGTCCGCAGATTAATTCATTCACTGATTCTTCCGGTTTCATTAATTTGTTTACTCATCCATTTGTTCATTCTGCCATTCAGATTCTCGCTATCGCTCAGTCTTCATTCAGCGTCGGATTTTGCTTAGAAACGAGACAGCATAGTGAAAACTTTCACGTTATATCGTCCCGTCCTTTGAGACCTCCCATTGAAGAGAATGACGCTCCTTTCCGATGTTGAATATCGCCTTCCAAATGGCGTTTTATCTTTATGATGAACACTCGTGGCATATCTTCTGACGCAGCTCCTCCTCAAAAGAGAGCCATAAAATCGTGCATTTCGCTGGCATATGTTGTGAAGAGTTGATGGATTAGATTGAGGTGGATTTTATGAGCGATGCTTTCCGTCCTTCCAAAAGTTCTTTCAAATGATTTATAACTGTCGTCTGTAGCACCACGTTTCGATCTATGATGATCCAAATTTAAAACAGCTGCTATTCTGCCAGAGTCTTCTGCTCAACAAAAGAGCTGTACGCAGTAGATGTGAGAAATGAGAAAATGAGCTTGATGCCGTTAGCCAAACAGTATTTTCCTTAGCCCCGAGTTTCTCGGGAGAGTACCAAATCACGGTAAACGACGAACGTCCACTCAGAGGGATAAAGTAGAGGAAAGTCTGCTTTTGTAGAGGAATTGTTCTTTCTGTGATACAGTAACCGATGGCTTATAGCAAAAGCTCTCTAAAAGTTATTCATATAGGGAAAATCACAAATAATAAACGTTCTGTCTATTTAAACTGCTAAAAGTACTTATACTAACAAAAGCAACCCAAACAACATGCCTAAATAAAATTTTATGATAAGAATTTCTTATGAAATGCGTGTTGAATGTGAAAAATCTCACGATATGCCACATTTCAGTATCGTCGCTTAAAGATACCCTCGAACGACTGTCATTTGTGTTGGGCTGTTGCTAACTCACTGTTGCGTCCGATGAGGACATGAGGCACTTAACGGAATTCGTTTCGACTGTGCCACCTTCGGTTTGACATTGAAGTGTGCGATTGGCCCTGTCTTGAATGGAGGCACGTGCGATTAAGTTGCTTATCTCAAGAAGACGTCAAAAAGCTGACGAATGTCAGTCTTTCTCATTCGCACCTCTCTGTGATTGATCGTTTGTACCTCTTGCCAGTTTCTGGACAAATTTCGACCGACTTAGATCTCAGGTCAAATAAGTGCAATAATTCTATGACTGATTACTAACACAAGGGCAAGGTCATGTCAACACAATAAAAAGTATTGATACCGCATTGAAACGGCGAAAATGCACAGTGTAAAGGAGAAAAATCAAATGCTTCCATGGGTTTTCGATTCTGGGCCAATGGTTATGAAGATAAGTGCTTGAATGATTTATGGTTCAGGGCACCAAATACAACAGACGGTACAACAGTTTAATGCCAACGAGTTTCGCGACATAGACAGTAGCATCATCAGGGCTGGACAAAGTATAAATGAATGCTTGAAGGCAGATGTCCATCAAGCGAACTGTACATTACAACCGAAATGTATATTTGTTATCAATTTGAGTAACGTAATGCTAATGAATATGCTCTAGTGAGTAAAGGAAATTACGTCTCCTTTTCTACACTGCTTTGAACCTTGGATAGAGAAACGAGAATCATTAATTGTTATCCAAGCATGGAACTAATCGATATCTCATTCTGAAGCCATCGCGTGAGTTCATGATTTTAGTCACCACTAGAAGTCATTCGTTTACTACTGAGTTAAGCAGTTTGTTAAGCATCCGCCCAAACAGTTAGCAGCCAAACAAAGTATGGACAATCGAATGCTTTGAGCAAGGAGGTTGAAACTTCTCCATAGGCAATTTCTGTTCTCGTTGCTGACGCATTTCTGAAAGCTATTTTATATCTGAGGGATCAATAGTGTCAAAGATGGCAATTTTTCTTGCCTCTGCCGAAACACACACTGATAGAAGTTGTCAGAAAGCCCTGTAGAAGATCAATAAACCTTTCAACTGGTTGAAAGCACGACTTTTGCAAGCGATAATTTCTCCATTATTCTAAGCTTTTGCTACTCATAGAACTGAGGGCTTAAGGTTTTCCGTACGGTTGCAGTGGGAACTACTTTAATCCTGTGGGGTTATCTGCGCTGCATTAATCAACATGTACTTTTCTAATTTTTATTTAACGACACGCTTTATTCACGCTTCTCATCTCAACATCTACAAATACTAAGCGAAAACGGCATGTCGTCATGGTTCCTTGTTAATGTCTAGCTCTACAAGCTAACCAATGTGCTTTGCCTTTCCTCTTCCAGCGAATTTTTTTCGTTATAAGTTTTCCTCTCGTTAGATAAATAAATAAGTTAATTTTTTTTTCATTTTCTTATCGGCTGCTTCGGTTGGATGTGATCAGAAATCAGCTGAACAGTTTTGGTAGAACTGCATGAAGGCCGATGATGAACATAGTCATGCGTTCGGAAATTGCAAAAAGAAACAATGTATCAAATGCTTAACATCTTACAGGGGGCGAAGACAGATTAGATAGAAAGAAAAATCGTCATTGATTCCTTATTCAAAGTGTAACTCGGACAAAAGGCAAAGACCTTTTCCTCTTCACAATAATTTTCCCTCGATATGAAGTTTACTCCTGTCAAACGTGTTACAAATCTCATATCTTTTATTTTCGACAACGACATAACGCGTTTATTAACATATAACGCGAAAGCATGACATATGGTCAATCAGACAATCATTTTTCGGGGTGTATCACGAGCCTTCTTCAAGGCAGTAGGTTAATAGAAATCCTGGGATGACCTCCAGATATCAGGGTTAAATGCGACAAATGAGCACTCGCCGGGAGACAGCGGTAAAACCATTACAGTATGGCCGGGTTAGTGGTCGGCAAGTTCTATTCTTTAGAAAAGACGACAATTCTTAATGAAGATATAATAATGAGGCGAAAATGACCCGCTGTCATGAACAAACAAGACTGTCAGTGTCACATCTGCTTTGTGGTTAGACGAAAATCCAGAAGAAAAACCCGACTAAAAGCCAAGCTGGATTGGGGACCCACCTTTAAGAAATTCACTAGGCAACTGTTAGCCCTGTCAAGGATGACAAAATTTCATGCGCCATTATAACTTATAATATTGTAGTCGGCGCGATTAGTCGTCGAATGACAATTAGTCTAAGTGACTCATGTGGCATTTCTGGACACAACAGGATCTACAGGTAAGTTTGGATTATCGGCGGCGTTCTATGTGAACAGATCTGATCCGTTTTGATTGAGCAGAGTCTACTCAATCATATTACCTTTTCATCAATGTCACAAAAAATGATTTCTATATAACGACGGTAACGCACCAACTTTATAGGTTCTTATGTGAGATATCAACATTCGCCATATGTTTACAAAGATACATACATCTCTCTGAAAAGA